GCTACATCCCCAGCCCACAGCTGACTTTATCTATCTATCTATCTATCTATCTATCTATCTATCTATCTATCATCTATCTGTCTATCTATCTATCTATCTATCTATCTATCTATCTATCTATCTATCTATTTGCTGCTCTAGTCAAGGGAGGGAAACTTTATTCAGGCCCTGAGGCTGTAGGCACTGAGCAAGTGGTGCCCATCTGGACAAGGGGCTGACTGAGCTTTACTTGACCTTCTGCTTGGGGTGCAGGTTGTTGGTGTGGCCACACTTCTCGTGGCAGTTGACAACACAGGGGAGCAGGCGGGCATAGCACTTGCGGCAGATCGTCTTGTTCCAGTTGTACTTCTGGGCGAGCTGGCGCAGGGACGGCTCGGTGAACCCACCTGGATGGCGAAGCACCGGGTGCAGGGTGGACTCTTTTTGGATGTTGTAGTCAGAGAGAGTCCGACTGTCCTCCAATTGTTTGCTGGCAAATATCAGGCACTGCCAATCAGGTGGGATGCCCTCCTTGTCTTGGATTTTGGTTTTGACATTCTCGATGGTGTCAATGGGCTCGACCTCGATGATGGTCTTGCCCTTCCGGGTCTTCACAAAAATCTGCATCTCTGTGTCTGCAGCTCAGCAGCCTCACTGAAGAGAAAGAGGGCACCACAGCTGACTTGAGATGGCAGACAACTGGTGAAAGTCACCAAATACTAAATCCTGATTACAAAAGTTGGAAAATCCTATCATTGGCACCAAACCGTGTGTGTGTGTGTGTGTGTCAATGGAGAAAATCAACCATCCCTTATTTTTCACTTAGTAAGGCACAGCTGGCTTAAAACAGCATCATTCACACTCTGCTTCATTTTGGTGCCAGATGTTGATGACTCTGGAAAACTGTACCATCGCTCAATTCCCTATGAGTTCTTGGTGGAAAACAGCAATGGATAGTTCTCAACTAATCCAATGGAAACCACAGGCAACCTGAGTCAAAACCTCAAAAAATGAAAAAGAGTAGGAAATATTGACAAGTACATCTATAACCAAGCCAGGCAGGTGGGCAGGTGGACACCAGCCACATAAAGAGGAACATAGAAGAGCCGGCCAAGTTATTACCAAACATTCCCAGTTTTCTTTCTTTTCTTCTTCTGTTTCTGAAAATGTGTGATTTTCTTTCTTGTTCTTGTTCTTCTTCTTTTTTTTTTTTTAACATTACCATGTCTTAGTGCAGTCTCTGTTAGAACTGAACCCCTGAGCGTGGGTAGCTTACAAAGGAAGGAGGTTTGTTTTGGCTCAGGGCTCTGGAAGTCCAAGAGCATGATTTTGGCATCTGCTCTGGTTCTGGCCAGGGCTGGGAGCTTCTCCAGGCATGGTAGAAAAGGAGAAAAGCAAACAGGAGCATTGAGGAGAGGGGAGCACCTTACAGCATCAGCCTACTCTAGTTAGAGACCCAGTGTCTTCCGAAGAGAACTAACTCAGTCTTGAAGACATCATTAATCATTCCAAAAGGTCCTGCCACTCGGCACCATCACACTGGCAACTGAATTTGGACAGGAGTTTGGTAAGGACAAAAGCAAAGCAGCCATAAAGCAAGCTGCAGTGTCGTGGTTCATACTTCACATGTCTAATTTCAGGTAGTTTTTGAAGACCCTGTCATGATTCTGCTGACTCTGAGTCGGTTTTCTTTTGGGAACCAATGGTCAGAGTGCACTGAGCCTTACCACGCCCTTGCTCTGGGTTCTCCCTGTTTCCCAAGATCTGCCCCTGCAGGCCTCCATGCTTTTGCCTCCACCTTAAGCTGCAAGGGCTGTGGATGGTGGGTAGTCACTGCACCCTTGCAGCCCTAAAGCTCCTGTAGATGCTGGGGTGTGGCCTTTTCTCAAACTCCCCTCTTCTGTCCCTCCTCTAAATAGCTGTTCCTTCCTGCTCCAAGTCTCAGGGGAAAATCCCACCTGCCCTTTCACACAAGAAGCAAAGGCTGCCAGGCATGGTGACACCACCATGCCTGTAATCCCAGCACTGAGGAGACTGAGGCAGGAGTATGACTGTGAGTTCAAGGGCTACATAGTGAGACCCTGTCTTAAAAACAGAAAGAACAAAATAACAACAATAACAAAGGAAGCAAGGGCCATTTCTACTTCCTTCCACCCCTGCAGCCCCTACCACAACTGCTTGCCTCTGCTTCCCAGGTGTGCTGGCCACCACCCTTGTCCCCTGAGCCTGGGTCCTTCCAAGGCTTGGCCTCCCTCTCTTTGGCTTTAGCCCCTCTGCCTAGAAGCATCTCAGCTCTTCCAGGCTGGCATTCCTACCTTTCTTGGACCTCATTCATTCCTGTTCACTTGCCTCTGGCTTTGTCCCTCCCTTCTCCGTCTCCCTCTCCCTTCTGCCGCCTTTCTCCTCAGCCTTTACCACACTCCTTGACCTCTGCACTTCCCTTCACTTGACCCAGCCAGTATAGCTCCAGAGGCACCCACTGCTTCCCTCTGGGCATCCAATCCCTTACCTTTAGGCTCTCTGAGTTTCTCAGCAACCTCTCCCCTTCTCTTGGCTGTCTCTCTCTGCTCTTCTGTCTGTCTCTGTCTCCCTGTCTCTCCCTCTGTCATCCCCTCTCCCCACCCACACCTGCCACCCCCCAGTACCCTTCCTCCTGCTTATCTGACCACATCTTTCTGGTCTTCACAGGCCCTTTTCCTTGATTTTCATCTTTAATGTCCCCAACTTTCTTCTTACACCACACTGACTCTTTTGGACATCTCTTTGTTCCCTTCTTCTTAACTTTTGCCATTGAGTTTAATTTCTCTCCAGGTACAGGTTTTGAATATTCATCTTATTTTTTGATTAAAACTTATTTTATTTGACTCTATCTTACATTGCATTTGAAATCCTGTGCCCAAGCCCCCCCCCCCTTTAATGTGTTTGGTACAGGGTCTCACTACGCAGCTTGAACTCATAGTGATCCTCCTGTTATCAGCCTCCCCAGAGCTGAAATTAGAGGCGTGCACCACCACACTCAGACTCAGTGGCTGGCTCAGTGTGCCTGGGGCGGAGACAGCATGGCATGTGGTACCAGGGATCAAACCCCAGTCCCTGTGCTTGGCTAAGCAGGTGCTGAGCTATCTTGCTGCCCCTCAACCCTGTTTTCCCAAAGAGGGTGAGCCTCCCCACACTGGAATGGAGACATCGCCCTGCTCTTGCCAGCAAGGCTGACCTGACTGGCACACGAGAGCCTGAAGTCAGAGCCCCCAAGGTAAGGAACTCCAGGTTCTCTGTTGCTGCGGAGCTGGGTTCCAGGTGGGGCTTGAAGAGCCCTGGAGGTTCTTCCTCATTATAGGCAAAGGAGAAGAATGAGGTTTGGGGGAGAGGAGAGGGTGTGCCCCTGGGAAGGAAGCTCAGCAAGCACCAAGACAGAGGCTGGGAAGAAAGGGTATGGTGGGAGGCTTGCCAGGGACCCAAAGCTGAAAGGGTGGGCAGTGGGCAGCAGCTACCTGGGAGGTGCCAGGCCACTGAATAGGAAGGGACAGCCTCAGGGGCAGCAGCCAGCTGCCTGGTCTTCCTGACAGACCCTGCATGTTCTTCACTGATTATCTGGGAAGAGAGAGGGAGGTCACCAAGAACACCCCCAACCACTAGGGCTCTAGTAGGAGCCCTGGACACCAGTGAGACGCACACAGAGTGGGCTTCCTGATCCTCCACTAGAGGGCTGTATTGAGCACCCCCGAGCTAGGAAGCAACAATAGACAGAACACACAACTATGGACATACATCCTCTTGTCCCAGATATCCTTCTCTTCTAGGTTATCTACAGATAACCTCCAATTCAACCTGACCTCGCTCCAAACTCATGCCACCCCTCTTTCATCTCACCAAAAGGGACCCCTATGTCAGAAAACAGGAGTCAGTCACCAAGCTTCCTAATCTCTCTGGGTGCTTTCTGCTCCCTTCCAGCCCCTCAGATGAGCGGAGGCTCTGGCCTGCAGCTTGTGCACCAGTGTGGCCTTCTGACTGGCATGGAAGCTGCTCATCTTGTTGTCATCCTCTGAGTCTCCATGTTGGGCAGCTGGTTGGGCAGTGGGACCCTGCGTGAGACCAGAGACTCAAAGGAGGGGAATAGAGGCAGCAAAGGGCAATGGGAGCAGGGATGAAATACAGCCAGGGAGGAAGATGCCGCCCCCACTGCAGAGAAGGGAAGAATCAAGTCTTGAGGTGTCCAGCCAGTGCCACAAGGCCAGGAATGTGGGTACTCCTGGTCCACAGGCTTAACCTGGGGAAAGCCCTAAAGGTCACGTGGTGAGCAGTCAGAGCTGGTAGGTGGGGCCCAGGCTAAAGGAGAAGGCTGGGCTGCTAGAGAGCTGGATCAGAGAGGTCAGGCCCCAGCTGAGTACCCTTTTGAGAGGATGCCAAATATATAGTCTAGCCTGAAGTGTGAGGCAATAGCTGGGCCCTCTCAGGGTGGGGCTCATGACGCTGACCTTGACCCTGACCCTTTTTCAGCCAGCTCATGGCAGCCTGGCTGTCTCCCTCCAGAACACCCACTCCCTTTGTCTCCAGCTGGGACCCCTGCACCTGCTGGCATCCTCCTCAAGGCTATGGAGTGACCCCCGGTTCATCTGTCCAGCAAGCATGGGCAGGAAGGGGCCTTACATCCAGGCCCAGACTTCAGATGAGCCCAGGGCAGGGACAGACATGGCAATGGTATGTAGGTGGTGGTCTTGGGCAGATTCACAGGAGATACAGACCAGGCCTGTCTGTGCACCATTCCCCAGCCTCCCCAGTCCTCAGCCTGCAAACAGCCCTTCTGGGTATCAGTGTTCCTGCCCGAGCCCTGCCCTCTGATGGGAGCACATTCCCCACACTCAGACTCCCTCTCTCTGCAGGCAGGCCCTCTGCCCCTTCAGGGACTTCTCCCGCCTCCCATCCATGTCTGCCCCTCCCAGTCCTGCACCCTGGGGCCAGTTTCTCTGTGCTTCCTGTACCAAGAAGGTGCTCAGCAAACGTCCCAGCAGGTTAAGAAGTCACAGCAGAGCAGGTCTGCGATAAGGACAGGGTCTGGGTGGTCAGGCTCTGCCTGTCCAAGCATGAGCTTTCTGTGGCAATGGCTGGCTCTCCCCTCCCCCAGAGGGTCTCCTGTTTTGGCCTCTCTATACCCGCCCATCGCATGCCTGCTGTGTCGCCTCCATCACCAGCCCATAATCCTGTGTGGTTTTACTGTAGTGCCTGTGAATAGAAGAGTTACAGGAAAGTGGGTGGGAGCCCTTCCCAAGGCCTTTCTCTCTCTCTCTCTCTCTCTCTCTCTCTCTCTCTCTCTCTCTCTTTCTCTCTCTCTCACACACACACACACACACACACACACACACACACACCCCACATAGGTACTGGGCAACTCTACTGCTTCTGTAACCTTTTCCCATCCCTGTCCTAGACAGGCCCAGACACCAGCCCCTCCAGCAGGAGCAGCTCCAGCCCCCACTGGAATCAGGCCAACTGTGCTGAACACCCTTTGTCAGCCTTCCTAAGGCCTCCCAGCTCATGGCTTAGCTGGCTCTGGCTGTAGAGGACACAGGGAATGCAGACCCCAGCCCTGTGCCCTGAATTGGAATACATTGACCACTCCTACCCCAGGC